TATTTGATAGTTTAGGTTATAGTTTAGTTGAAAGTTAAGTTGATAGTTCAGTTGATAGTTTAGTCGATAGTTTAGTTGATAGTTTACTCTATAGTTTAGTTGATAGTTTATTCTATAGTTTAGTCGATAGTTTAGTTGATAGTTTAGTCGTATTTGATAGTTTAGTTAATAATTTATTCTATAGTTTAGTTGATAGTTTTGTATTAAACGCGCAGAAAAGCGTTACCACGTCTGGTTGAAACTCTTCGGTGGCAACATTTGATGAGACATTTCAAATCAAATTTTAGGTCCTTCAGTGATGAAAGGCATAAAAAGCACCGGTGAAACTGTTGGTGCTAAGTTGACAGAACTATTTCTCAATCGCTATCTACCAAAAAACTCATTCACAATCCTGATAACCAACAGCATGGTAAAACGACGCTTGATCGACCCGAAGATTTACCTCAAGAATGGGAAGACAACTACTCCTCCATCATTTATGATACCGGCTGCCCAGGACCCCTACAGTGGGACTAAACACATTGCTTTGCTGGAGAACGATCCGGCTGGTTAGTATATTCCCTGTACAATTTGCTCGTTACATAGTGGAGTGCTCTGCATAAAGTTGCATCTATAGACAAAAAAGTCATGCGTAATGTAGCCACTTCGCGTGCTAATCATAAAGACGGCAAAATTACTAAAATCTGATTGGCTAATGAGGGCATTTTTTCTCAATTGAGGGGGCAAAATTACTTGGCCCTGATTGGCTAAATTTCAGAATGTTTTTGTGTTCATTTCACGTCGAACATTTAGTGGCTTCCTCGCAGTAGCTATTTGTCGCATGTGAAATCTACAAATTGAATTAGCTTCTTTCTTTTAATTTCGTTCATCAAAATATAACACTATATATAGGCTTTTACATAAGTGAATATCAATACAATCATTGAAATATATATTTAAGGAATCTAGGATGAAGTTTAAAATTACAGTTAGCTACAATTTACTAATTAATAAAAATTTGTTATAATGCTCATAAAAGCTCATAATGAACGAGTTCGTAAAACGATCTGTTTGACATTTTGGCGCATTAAAAATGATGACAACTATTACGAGGAGAGAGTAAATCAGCAAGTTTGTGGTTCTCGCTGACAACAATGTCATTAAAAAGATTTTTGACAGCATTTCTCGCCTGTCAAAAAGGTTAGAATAATCCATAATATAATAAAATTTCCAGTCCAACTCATCACTTCAAATATTGCATCTGAAAAAAAACGAGCTGTCCACTATCTTTGTTACAGTGGCGCCGGCAAGGGGGGGGGGGGGGAAGCCCCTT